GCCGACTTTTTTCCGTGAGGAGACTTGACGTTCAGCACCTGTCGCATCCGCCGAAGTTTCGCCCACCACTCTCGATCACTGGCCTTCTTTTGTTCTTCGTTCACCTCATCCACTACCGGGAAGTCATCCGAGGGTGATTCTGAGACAGCATGGAGGGTGTCCATGGAAGCCGATGACCTGACCTGCCGGCGGTGTTTGACTTTGAGAGCTTGAACAAGTAGTTCCCATCCGCTTCGCAGGTCTGCCTGCTTCTCGGTTGACTTGCCAGTCCCGCTTTGAGCCTTTCCGCTGACCCAAGGGCAATACTCCATATGCTCGTTGGCAACATCCAATGTATCGTAGACTGTAGCATCCCCATTATCCTTCGGCTTGTACATCCACAGGCCCAATCGTCGAAAACATGCACTGCAGCCTACCAGGCCGGCAGTTTCATTGGAAACTGCATCCCAGCCGAAGAATGCCAGCGCAAAGGCAGTCCTGTTGATAGGCTTTGATTGCTCAAGTGTCACTTGAGAGTTCTTTTCGCGAGTTTCTTCGTTTGACTGTTGCTCCTGCGATTGTTCCTGCTGCTGAAGTTGAGACTCAGTGGTGCGCAACACATCGCCAGTTTCGAAGCTTTCTCGCGGCAATATCTTGAGAATATCTTCTAGATTGAATGACTCGGGTGTTTGAATAATATTCCCAGCTGGTAGCTTATCGGCAATTTTTGTAATGTTTGAATAACGTTTCTGAAGACTAGCGATTGCCGTGTCGGCGTTGGTGAGCGGTAGTCGATGGATCGTAGCTTCATTGATCAGTGAAAAATCATAAAAAACTCAAAAAGTATGTGCTTGACCAACCATCACAGCCTCTATTTCTCCAAGGACAATGTTCACCATGCCCTTTGACCAGCAGACTCGCATACTCTTCTACCAGCTTGGCACCTTCGGATGGTCAGTTTCACGGCGATTGAAGCCACAAATGTACCAATGCACTTACGGACTTCCTTCCTCTCCTGGACTTTGTCGAGATCATATCCATCCAACTCGTCAAGTTCGTCCGGTAATTTGACGACCACTGAGCCGCCACAGCCTCCCACACACGACACCCGCGAAACATCTGTACAGATCCACCCTCGTTTGGCCCATTCAACCTCACTTATCGCAGCCGGTTTGGGAGACCATCGATCGACACGGCGAAAGGTCTGTAATCTCTCCAAGAAGCGTTCGCGGTCCCACGGGACGAAGCTAGGGCGTGTTGTTGATGAAACGGAAGACTCTTTGGAGCTAGCTCGAGCTTTTAGAATCGATCTCCCGGCCGCTGCGAAGTCGCTTTCATCTTGACTGCTCAGTCGGACCTTCTTGATGGATAGATCTGCGGGAAGACGCTCGCGAGCTGTTGTTGGAGTTGCGGGGGTCTTTTTGGACGAAAGTTCAGCGGTCGATGGTTTGGTCAGAGATTCCAGCACTCGATGAAACTTTCGCTTTTTGGTCTCGACCGCGTAGGACATTTCCTGATGTGGGAGTGAGCTGATTCAGCTTGAGAACAAACTTGACGCTCTTAAACTATGGAGATCGACCTGCGATGATGATATTATCAAAACGACGCTAAACCCAGGACGGCAACTGTATTGTTTGCTCATCAACAACGGGTTCCTGAGAAATCAGGTGTCTACAGTTTATTCCTCAACGGGGCATGGACAAAGCAAATTGGAGTTTATTAGAACTATGTTAAGTACTGATCATATGGTATCACTTTTATAAGATCCTGATGTGACAAGACAATTTTGCACCAACCCTGTTATGCTATATGGAAGTATTCCTCATCAGAGAGTATCGAATCATGCAATACTGATTGGCCCTTCGGCGCTTCGGCCGTTCCGATCTCCGTCCGCAACGGTTCATTCGAGGGTCCTGAAAGCTCAGCTTCCATTCTTCCTTCTCAGCTTTGTACATAGAGGGAGTTCAGCATTGACTCTCCCTGCTGTTGGCATCACCATGGCTTCTTTAGGAGGCTCGGTGCCTATGTTCCGGAGCCTTGCGCCCCGGTTCTCTAAAGAATTCTTCACTTGTCGTCAATGCCTCGGACGGAGCCAGAACTATGCGACTAAATCCGCATTTCCCAAGCAGTTTGTTGGCTTGTCCTTCGGCCAGAAGTCCTCCAATGCAAGTCAAAACCCGCTCCGCGTGGCGGCAACAAAGCTGTTCTCGCCTATCCTACGGAGATCCGTCTCTGGGTCAGCCGTGGCCGGTGCGCTGGAGGATGGAGCTTCTAAAGCCACGTCCAGCTTTCCCAAAGTGTCTGACAAGATTGTGGCTTACTGGCTGCTGGGGAGTGCGGCCAGCGTATTTGGTATTGTCGTCTTTGGTGGACTTACAAGGTTAACAGAATCAGGGTACGTTCCGCTTTGTGCATCGCAAGTTGAGCGACACTTGCTGACCATATTTGTTCATAGTTTGAGTATTACAGAATGGCGTCCCGTCACCGGATCCCTCCCTCCCATGAACGCAGAAGACTGGGAGTCTGAGTTTGCAAAGTACCGTGCCTCCCCGGAATTTCAGCTGCTGAACCCGAATATGAATCTCTCCGAATTCAAGTCGATTTACTATATGGAATGGATTCACCGTCTCTGGGGTCGTTTTGTTGGCCTGTCATTTGTGCTTCCCGCTATCTATTTCGTCGCAAAGAAGAAAGTCAGCAAGCCCATGTCGCTACGTCTAGCAGGCATCGCGGGTCTGATCGGCTTCCAAGGCTTCATCGGTTGGTGGATGGTGAAGTCCGGACTCAAGGAAGACCTCTTTGCGCAAGGCAGCCACCCCCGCGTGAGTCAGTATCGATTGACGGCTCATCTGGGGGCTGCCTTTGTCTGCTACATTGCCATGCTCTGGAACGGTCTTGCTATCCTGCGGTCTCATCGGCTCCTGGCTGACCCCGAAGCTGGTATAAAGCTGCTGGAGTCGCTGCGTGATCCCAAGCTTAAGATCTTCCGTCGATCTGTTGCCGGTCTGGCCCTTCTGGTTTTCGCTACGGCCATGTCCGGTGCCCTAGTTGCCGGTCTGGATGCTGGTCTGATTTACAATGAGTTCCCATTCATGGGCAATGGTCTGGCTCCTCCCAAGTCGGAGTTGTTTGATGAGCGTTATTCACGGCACGAGGATCGGTCTGACCTCTGGTGGCGCAACATGCTGGAGAATCCTTCTCTTGTGCAACTGGACCATCGTATCATGGCTATGACCACGTTCACCAGCATTATGGCTCTGTGGGCTTATTCTCGCCGCTCTCCAACCATGAAGCGGTTGCTTCCACCTGCCGCCAGGAAGGGCCTACACGGTGTGGTTGCATTTGCTTGGGTCCAAGTCGGTCTAGGCATTTCGACCCTTCTCTACCTTGTCCCTCTTCCTCTTGCGTCAGCTCACCAAGCAGGCAGTCTCTTTCTTTTGACCTGGGTGCTTGTCTTGGGCAGCCGTATCTGGCACCCGTCTAGGACGGCGAAGTTGCTTCAGATGGCTGCAAAGGCTCGTGGCCAAGCGGTACACAATGCTGCTGCTCAAGCCGCCCGCAAGCTGTGAAGCTGCTACTGATCACATGTTCGTGAAATCAAACGATCTGCTCCTGTAGCTTATAGACGTCTAGACTTCTCTGTATACTATGGATACCTCCCCTTTCAAAAATGTACATTATTGTTGGTCCAACGATTGGAAATAAAGCCATTTGAAGTTTGGAGTCACTTTTTAGGAATTTTAATGACAGGCGGGGCCTGTAGACGAAACCCTACAGGCTACAGCAGGTATTCCTCATGTCTGAGCATACTTTATATTTCATTCCGAGAGATTGTCATGGTCTGCAGAGCATCCCACCTACCCTTAGTGTCCCACTCGAAGTCTCGAAGTCTCGGTGGCGACCTGAGAGCCCTGTACGTGCACTCATTCGACCCCAAACGGGTGATCTCGGGGACGAGATTGCCAATGCTATCCAGCGGAATTATTGAATAATCCACTCAAAATCATCTAGTACCTCAAAGTCATCAAGACTTGTATCGACCAGCCGGCATACGCCCGGCCGTTTGAGTCTTGTCCGATGAGGTGGTCTCGTCAACACTTGCTTGAGTCACAGAGAAGGTGCCAATCACCTGAGCATCCGTCTCTCTGTTCCTGCGCTCAAGGTAAGCCTGAAGGGCATGGCTGGCTTGTTGCTGGGCATAGTCATGCAGTTCCCGACTGGTCATACTCATGAAATTCGCAACATCCTCGTCTCGAGGCGCAGCCCCGCCAGGTGAATTTTCTCGGTCAAGGCCGTCCTCCCGGATGGCTAAACCGATGGCTTCAATACTAAACGCCAAAAAGTTCCGAGCCGCGTTCAAGACCTCATCATCCGCAGAGCTTGGTATCTTCGAAGATGACTCCTCGTTCTTCGTTTTCTTTCGATTGCTTGCCTGGCCCCTCCGCAACTGACCTGCGCCACCCTCTTCCCTCTTGACCGACACTCTGCCACGTCTCATACGGGCGATGAGAGTCTGGTCAATAACTCCCTTATGGACGCGCCCGTTTCCCCTGTGAGTGCGACTGCAGCCGTTAGCAAGAATACATTCGTAGCATGCCTGCCAGCCGCATCCCTCGCAGCGGGACATGCCTGTTCCATTGCGGGTGTTGCACATGTCGCATTTTGCGGTGTGGCAGGCTATCTCCTTCCATTCTGTCTCGACGGACTGTTCAGACACAGTGGACGGCAGAGGGAGAGGGGGTCTGGAGTGATGAGGCGAGTGATCCCTCTTGCGTCTGAAAGAAGATCTCGCCATTCCTTCTACGCGGCGTATGATGGTGCCAATCTGTGTGGCGTTTGAAGGGGGTATCGGGATGGCTGTTAGCCTGTGTGGAGAAGATTTTGGAAAGGAGACTTGGATTAATTCTTCCCTATGATACAACAGCAAAGGGCAGTGACAAATTGGCAAAGATTGGGGTTCGTTGTCAAGTAGCAGCAGAACTCGAGAATGTGCTCAGAAAGGGACTATGAACTACACACAGTCAGGGCGCGGCTCTGTTTACCGGGGCACGATTGCGCTCAATAGTGCGGAGCCACTCTAGGTGCACTTCCCACACGTCAGGGAATGTTCTTGGCTGGCCCTCCGGCGGATTCTGTGCAGCCTCGATAGCAGCTAGATAGAACTCCCACGGGTTTTGTCCATCCCACGGGTCGACTTCCAGGTGTCCTTCGTATTCTTCGGAAGGGGAGTATGGGGGGAGCTCAGGGTCTCCTTGGAGATCCTCAATTGCACTTGCACCTGGCTGACTCTGAATGCTCTCTGGATGCTGTTCAGAGCTCACAAGCTGAAAGTACTGACTAATGTCACCGTCGTTGTCGTTGTCTGCAAGGTTCTGCGCTGGTGCTGGCTGATCGCTCTCCTGACGCCGTCCAGCTCTCATCAGGCGACAGAATTCATCGAAGGTACGATCGTCGCCGAAGGTGAGTCCAGGTCTCACAAGTTCAACGATTTGATCGAAGTCACTATCGTCGTCACCGTGATTTTGTCCAGAGGGCTCAAATAGAGAGTATGGCGGAGGCTTACGGGCGTCGCTCGTGGCACGACCCTGCTGTTCAGTCAGACGTGAGACGTTGTCCTGAGAAAATAGAGCCATGTCAGTGAAGTTCAAGTCGCAGATGGAGAGAATGGCAAACGTACCACAGGTGGAACCCTGCGCTCTGGTCGACGAAGACGATTCCAAAAGCGCCTGGCAGGAGATTCTCCGTTCGAGTTCGAACCACGCGAGAGACCTCTGCTACGCTCAACTTCCTCGTCATAAGGATATGGCGGAGGGGGTCCAGTTGGAGGTAGTGGGATCCGTCCCCTGCCTGAGCCGATCGATTCCCTGACTGAGTACAGGTCGAAATCAGAGCCCTGCTCGCTGGTGTAAGGATTGAGACGTTCGTTGAAGGAAGCCCTCGGCCAAGCGGCGTACTCTGCCTGGCGCCGGGCGTGATTGGAACGAATGCCCCTGATGTCGTGGTTACGCACCACCTGCTGGTGTTCTCTGTCAGGCTGGTATAGTTCCTCACTGATAGGGTCTTCCTGAGGTTCGTTGCCTCCCTCTGACATCTTGGAGATGACCGCCATTTTATATGTTATTTCTCTCTGATGAGATGAGGTTCAGGACTGACCCTGAAAGAATAACAATTCCTTTCACTTGTTTCTTTCTTAGAGGAAGGTGGCAAAGAGCATAGAAGAGCTACGAGATAACGGAAGGCTATGAGCACCTGGAATGCGAGAATAATAGTGCCACACGAAGAGGAGAAGGCGAGGTGACAAGAAGAACACTTACTCGCGAGGAATTTATCTCGCTTCTTTCCTCACTGTGTGTGGGCTGTGAGCTGTGGCAGGCCTTAAGCGAGCATAGTGAATAGTCCCTCACCTTCACATCTGCTTAAAGCAATGTGTTGCATATGACGTCTGCAGGGACAAAGGAAAAGCGATTCGATGTTTGCTAAGAAAGAATCTGTCTTCTCTATGTCATACGTCAGACAAGCAGGTTGCAAAGGAAAAGAGAAATGGATCTCACCGAGTCATCTGGATGTTGCTGGAACAGGAGGTAAAGTCCATCCCTATGTGTGAAGCCACAATGCGTATAGGGAACGGACTCTTTCGAGAGCCTCCAACCGGGATTGACTATACAGGGCTCTTGACAACCTCCTGCCTCGAGTCTTATGCTGGATTACTTTGATATAAACCAGCGCAGACACTTATATTATTCTTGGGAAGTCCAAGGATGCCGCATCCATTACTTGACTTAACCCTGAGTAATTTAACCAGACGGATCGTTTTTCAGGACGAGGCATTAAGGACAGTAAGAGCTGCAAGGACACATACGGGATGAGCATACGAAGATTATGAGGACAGAGGCTGAATCAGTCATCGTGTCTGGCGATGTGTAGCCCGTTGAGTACCTCTGGCAATACCGTGGCGAGGAAGTAGATATCAAAGGATTCGTAACCTGGGTTTTGACATTTCTTTCCGCCGTATCATTGATATTGACCTCGTTATTGGCTCGCGGGTGTCTCCTATCAATAAGCAATGGACACGAGATGCTTTGAACGCAGCGGGAAAGAACCGACTTGTGCAATTGGAGGGGAAGTCATCCTTGGAGCATCACTCTTCAATACAGCATAGTACGAGATGATTGCCCTGCCCTACATGATGTTGTCAAGACGCTCACTACCATTCAAGATGCGAAATGGATCTACTGTATGAGTTTTATTTCACTCTTAGTGTATCCTCATAGACATTCATATCAAGCATGCAACCATAGTCATCAACGATAGATCCATCATCCAGTTCCAGTATCATGCGATTATTTATGAGCTGTGAGAATAAAACAGGTTAGCGACCTCGGTTCAGGTTCAGCTTTAAGATGAAGTGCAACTTACGAATTCCCTCTTCGGGCTGGGGCTCAATGCCAACAACCTCGGCAGCAGTCTTGACCTCTGCTGCCGTCTTGTCTTCCTTCATGAAGGGGAAGGCAAGAACCTCCTTGATGCTGTAGTTGTCCGTGAGGAACATGACCAGACGGTCGATACCCATACCCCAGCCACCGGTAGGAGGCAGACCATACTCCAAACTTGTGCAGAAGTTCTCGTCAATGAGTTGGGCCTCGTCATCACCCTGGTCCTTCTGTCTGGCCTGCTCCTCGAAACGGAGACGCTGGTCGAAGGGATCGTTCAACTCGGTATATGCGTTCACGATCTCCTTCTTGCAAACGAAAGCCTCGAAACGCTCACAGAGACCGGAGTGCTGGCGGTGGTACTTGGCAAGGGGAGACATCATCTGGGGGTGACCAGTGATGAAGGTGGGGTTGACGCAGGTCTCTTCGATGAACTCGCCGACCAGCTTGTCGAGCATGCGGGCGTTGGTCAGGGGAGGCGAGCATTCAATGCCAGTCTTCTTGAGCACACGCTTGAGGAACTCGCCAGTTTCGGCGGTGTGCAGCTGGTCTCCAGGAGGGAACTTCTCACCAGTGGCCTCCTCCAATGCAGGGATCATCTCTACCCGTCTCCAGGGTGCCTTCCAGTTGACGTTGTAGACCTCACCGGACTGAGTGTGGAATGTAGTCTCATACCCACCGGTAACGTGCTTGACAAGACCGGAGACTAGCTCCTCGGTCAGGTTCATGACATCGTAGACATCAGCGTAAGCCCAGTAGAACTCGCAAGTGGTGAACTCGGGGTTGTGCGTCAGATCAATGCCCTCGTTACGGAACTGACGACCAAGCTCATATACACGCTCCAGACCACCAACAATCAGCATCTTCAGGTACAGCTCGGGAGCGACACGCATGAACAGGTTCATGTCAAGGTCGTTGTGGTGGGTAATGAAGGGCTTGGCGGTAGCACCACCGGCGATGGCGTTCATCATGGGGGTCTCAACCTCGATGAAGTCCCGGCTATCGAAGAAGTTGCGCACGTAGCTAACTATCTTGGAGCGAGTAACGAAGACATTGCGGGATCTCTCGTTCATGATGAGATCCAGGTAACGTTGGCGGAAGCGCTGCTCCTTATCCTGGAAACCGTAGTGCTCCGAAGGGATGGCGTGCAAGCAGGGCGCCAGGAGAACGACCTCGGTGGCAAAGATAGAAAGTTCACCGTCGGCGCGGTTCTTGGGGCTGGTACGGCCAGGGAAACCGACGACACCAACAATATCTCCTCTGCGCAGATGCTCGTGCTGAGCCTCGAAGGCGACATCGCCCGTGGCGTTCTGGGCCTGGCACACGACCTGCACCTTGACACCTTCGGCACGGATATCGTAGAAGAAGAGCTTGGAACCTGAAGAACGCTTGGTGTAGATTCTACCGGCGATGCGGACGGTGACATCGGGCTTCTGCTCGCCCTTGGCAAGACCATCGTAGGTCTTGAGGTATTCACGCAGGTCATCGGTGACCTGGAACTTGTGAGGGTAGGGGTCGGGCTGCTTGGTCTCGCGCAGCTTGTTGATTCGCTTGCTACGGATCTCGAAGTATTGCTATATTCAGGAGCAAACATTTCAGCAACGAATCCCGACAGCTTCAAGTAACAGCTGAATTTCGAAGAGTGCAAATCAACTTACGTTAGCAGTCAAGTTAGCCTCTTCCTCCTCAGCGGAGACCTTCTTCTCGGGCTTAGGAGGAGCATTGGCCTCCTTCTCCTTCTTCTTAGCCTCCCTCTCGCGCAGCTTCTGGCGCTTCTTCAATTCGGTCTTGGAGACTCTCTCGCCCGTGACCTCATCGAGCAAAAGGTTGGCCACGGAGGCCTCAACCTCGTTGACTGCGTTGGAATCGGCCATGTTGTATCAATAGAGCTTTAATCTCACTCGTTCGAGAAAACACAGCCAGGAGAAGCCCGATGGCAAGAAATCGAGGAGGAGAGGCGGGTTTTGGTGGGTTAGGTAGAGGAGAAATGCCAGAGAATTTTGGGCCTGACTCATGATTGGGAGACTGTCATTGGCTGTTGCTTTGAACCTCTACCACAGCAAACGGAACGGCCGATAACGGCCATATGGATACTATATCTTTCTACATTGTACAGCACATCAACATCCTGAAAAAGGCTCACTGCATTATGAATCACTTTGTTCGTTGCATGCATAAAGATTTACTGAAGATGTGATATCAGTTTCCCTCAATTTGGGGCTTAGGGCATAGGGCTTGGACGTGGGGCTGGGTTACCCCGCCTTTGATGCCTCCAACCATCCCGCCTCCCTATCACCAAGTACAAAGTGAGCCTCAACTTCAAACCAAGATCAACACGATACTGCCTAAACGGAGGCTTGGACATCATCAAAGACATGCATATCTTAGCATGAAGCCAACACAATACATCGATTCCAGTCCGAGCCCAATCACCAACAAACAGGATCATCAGCCAGCTACCGGTCCGAATCCGGGAAAGCTGGACCAGTCTTCAGGTGGTTGAGACTTAATGGCCGGGTCAGACTCTGCGGATCCTGCGGCATCGTCTTCCTTCTTAGCTGTTGCAAGCCATTCCTGGGCCTTGAGGACCTTCTCTTTCTCCTTCAACAAGTACTGTCGGCGTCGCTGGCGTTCGGGGTCTTCTGCCATCAACTCCATGCAGCGTTCGACAGCTGGGTTTTGTCAGTCATTTGCCACAAAAATCTTTTGAATGGGAACAGACCATTTCCATCGAAGATTCGTAGTTCGTTCTCAATGACTGCAATCAGTTCTTCACGGCATTTGGAGAACAGTTTCGTATGTACACTCTGACAGATCGAGTCGATGAACCGGGAACTCGCTATTTCATAGTAGCCACGAGTTGTCTGAGTACTATTAGCATGATACTCAAACTGGGATTGGTAGAACTCACCGCCATCATTTTGAGCTCCTGAACGAATCTGTCAGGGCCGAGCTCCGCAGCAGTGAGTTTCTTAATCTCAGCTTCGCGGCGTTGGTCTCCCCGAGGGATTTTGCCTTGAAGATCGAGGAAGCAGTGCGACCTTGCTTCATGTCGGCGAGCTTTCAGAAACTTGTACGCGTTTTCTGTGGCTTGCTCGAGAGCGGAAATCGCCATGGTAAAAGGCTTGTTATGCTCAATATTGTAGTTCTCTTGCGCGTGTCTGAAGTGCTCCTTGCGAAGTGTTTGGAGGTAGTTGTCGATGATGCGTTTAAGCTCTCTGTAGAGACTGGTCTGGTAATATGGAGTAAAGACCTCCTTGAGTTGTCTCATCAGCATGTCCCTCACCAACTGGTGAGTGGCCCCCAAGAACACTTGCATTGGTTCGTCCCAGTGCTCGACGCTCATCTGGTTCATGACTTCCACGGCTTTGGGGTCCGTCTGGTCGGGAATTCCAGCACGATAAGAGTCCTCATTAATTTCTCTGATTTCTTCCCAGGTGAACATTCGTGCCGGACGATCAAACCGATTAAAGTGCTCTGTATAGTAACCTGAGGGCTTCGGGGTAGAGGGCTGTTCTGGCTTTGGCTCCGCTGGTGTTGGAGTAGGCCTGTCGCATGGGGCCTTGCGTTTCACATTCGCGCTCACCGATCGCTGTATTGAGGTCATTTCGCAGTCAGAGTCGGCGTCCTCACGCGCAATGGGAATGACCATTTTGTCTGAATGGGCAAGAAGCTGAACAGTCGGCCTGGTCTTCAACAGAGCTCTTTTAAAGTCCTTTGCAATGTTGCCCCATATCTTCTGGAGGGGATACTGAGCTGAGCCGCCGTCAATATGGGCACGTATTTGATCTTTGAGATGGTTCAATTTGCCGCAAAGGATGTATGGGACATTTGCCGACGGGGGATCTGGCAGAGTCTGTAACTCTGCGTCGATGCGCGCGGCTTTCTCGTCGATCTGTTCTATGATCCTCGGCAGACAGCCTTGGATCTGTTCTAAAAGAAGACTTGAAAGCGCTGCTTGCAGGTGTCTGGTTCCAAATCGGTCCTGGTAGGCAGATAGTTCTGTTGCCCACGGACTCTTTGCAAAGAAGACAGCTTCCTCTTCTCTCGCGTGAGAATGCTCGATGGCCGGATCAGGATTGTTGCGGACGATGTAATAGCCATGACCCAGTGCAAATTTGTCTCCTTCCAGGATCTCCACCCACTGAGCATACGATTCGCCCGTCTGGATACGATCAGGTTTTGTAAGGACACCGAGGGTTCTTCCTTTGGCGCCACGGACATCCCGCATGATACGTGCAGCGCTTGAATTTGTGGCGTCGTCGGTCATTGGCAGTGCCAATAACACAATGCAATTTTCCTGCGAGATGTACTCTCTCACGAGGTTCTCCACCAGTGAAACAAGGTACCGCTCATGATCGTGTTCCGCCTGGCTGATGACACCAGGTAGATCGTAGAAGGAGAGATTAGGAAAGTTAGGCGCCGAGATGTCCAACCGAACTACATTTGGAGAGAACTTCACCTGGCAATAAGACTCATCGGTGTCGGCGTTATTTCCGGGTTGATAGTCAGTAGAAGGTCTTCCTGGATTCAGAATAGCAAGCTGGGCCCACTTAATGGCCTCTTGTACAGCATCTTTATCTTTGACATCAGTAAAGTGCTCATCTTCCTGGTCTTGTTCGATCCATGGTCCCAGAGGCTGCGACTTTTTGGGAAGTTTAGTGATCTTCCGGGAGCCATCGAAGATGTATTTCCGTGATAGAAAGATGCGACAATTCCAATCCTGACCTGGTTCGCTTTCTGAGAGATTGATTTCCATGGGGCAGCGGGTGCATGTTCCAGCACTTCGAGGCACCTTGATCTCGCTCATGCCTTCGATCAGGGAGCTTTTACCCGTACTCTGATCCCCTATGACGCATATTTTTGGGAGAGCAATGCGGCTGTCTTCAATCCCTATGTGACGGAGGTCCTGTATCTTTTTGACAAGGCACTTCATGTCCCGCGCAATAAGATTTATTGCGTCTGTTTCGGTGGAGGGTAGGCCAGACATGACGACTGGCGTGTTGTGTCCTGTGGCTGCAGCAGGTTAGAGATGAATGATGTGCTTGAGCTCCCTTACTTACCTGTTCCTGTGCTTGATTCTGACATGGCGATATCAGCAACTGAGGAGGAGAAATGCTGTTGTTGAATGATGTTGCAGCTCATGAGGGAGGGTGAGGAGGTAGGTGAGAAAGAAAAAGAAAGGTGGTATTGTGTTCACTTTGATAGACAGATGCATATGCGGTCTGCGGAATATGAAAGAAACATTAAGGTGACTGGAGGGAGTAACACTTGAGATGGCAGTTATTTGGCCCAGTATTAAGTGAATGGGAAGTGAAGTATGAAGTGAATTGAAGGTGAAAGTTTAGTACTATATATCCAGCACAGATGTCATGATTTATAGTGAAGCAAGAAGCAAAGTAATTAAAAGACTTGACAGCCATGATGTCCATACAAAAAGTTTGGTTGTTGTTGTAGGCTTAGGATTCTCATTGTCCAAATGAGTGTATACTGCCCTGCCAAATTTGGTGCGGCATATACAACTTTCTGTTGCCAAGGCGGATGGACCAACAACCATGTCCAATTGCAAACACCTCACATACAAGTTACGGCAGATCAAGATAAGGTGATAGAGTAAAAGTTGATATAAACTTTACTGTGTTCGTCAGTCATTGAAGCAGTTTGTAGAGGCTAGGATTGATTCTTGTGCGCTTTTCATAGGCAATCACTTGAAGCACGTATTTGACACGCAAATACTAGATATCCTTTCACATTAGCTTATTCGCATTAGCGTACGGAATATTAGTCGGAGGTTTTTCAAGGAGACATCCATGTTTTCAGGAGCAAAGGTGCTAATTCCTGACTGTGAAAGACCTCGAATCTCAGATGGACGAAAGCGGTCAAATGGCTTGTCAAGTGTTGAAGCTCCCCGTGACCCGTGGTTCACCAAATGCGGATCCTCGCTACTCCCGACTTGTTCTAGTCAGCCGAAAGTTAGTGCCTAAGGTACCAAACGAGGTGGTACCTGTGGTGGGCCTGGAACAGGGTGCGTGGTCATCTGGGGGGCATCACCAAAGTTCAAGCATAATACGCATAATATTGATATTCTCTTTTCTCCTATTACTACTTTATTACTGAGTATCATTATTGCCAATCCTCCCTCGGGCTCTGATAATCACAGTCCAATTCATATAATAACTCCTCCAATCCGTCATTGCAGCTATTCTCAATGCTTCAAGTTCCAGTGCGGGAACATTCAACCGTGGCCTCCACCAAGGCTGTGATCTTGGTAGGTGAAGCAGGGAGAACAGCACCTCGGTGTCGCAAATGATTAGTATGCGGCTAACAATGCTCACAATCAGGTCGGAGGTCCCTCCAGAGGTACCCGGTTCAGACCTCTGTCTCTTGATGTTCCCAAGGTGGGTTACCCGTCCTTTTGACGCTTCCCCTCACTCAGAGAGTGTAGCTAACTCAAGGGTCATTGAACTTGATCAGCCCCTTTTCGAAGTTGCCGGGCACCCCATTATCAACCACTGCCTCAAGGCTCTTGCCAAAATCCCCGATATCCGAGAAGTCATCCTGGTTGGCTACTACGATGAATCGGTCTTCCGCGATTTCATCAAGGACTCCAGCAAGGAGTTCCCCCAGTTCCGAATCCAATACTTGCGTGAATATACGGCGCTTGGCACAGCAGGGGGTCTCTATCATTTCCGTGATGCCATCCTCAAGGGCAAGCCCGAGCGAATTTTCGTCCTGAACGCCGACGTTTGCTGCTCCTTCCCTCTTGGCGAGATGCTGAAGCTGTTCGAGGAGAAGGACGCAGAGGCGGTCATTCTGGGAACCCGGGTCAGCAACGAGGCGGCCACCAACTTTGGATGTATTGTCTCCGATGCTCACACCAAGCGCGTGCTGCACTACGTCGAAAAGCCGGAATCGCACATCTCCAATCTCATCAATTGCGGTGTCTACCTCTTCGCTACCGAGTGCATCTTCCCCGCCATCCGCAGCGCCATCAAGCGCCGTACTACTCGCCCTCGCCTCCTCTCATACCCTTCCTCGGAAAACCTGGAGTCCTCCTTCGTTGCCGCCGACGAGGAGGCGGAGAAGAGCGAGGTCCTCCGTCTGGAGCAGGACATCCTCTCCGATTTGGCGGACAGCAACCGGTTCTTCGTCCACGAGACCAAGGATTTCTGGCGACAGATCAAGACTGCTGGCTCGGCCGTCCCCGCCAACGCGCTGTACCTACAAAAGGCTTTCCAGGCGCAATCCGACGAACTCACTCCTCCCTCCGCCACGATCGTACCCCCCGTCTACATCCACCCCACCGCAACCGTTGACCCGACCGCTAAGTTGGGCCCCAACGTCTCCATTGGTGCCCGTGTTGTCGTCGGTGCCGGAGCTCGTATCAAGGACGCGATCGTACTGGAGGATGCAGAGATCAAGCACGATGCGTGCGTGATGCACTCGATTATCGGCTGGAGCAGCCGGGTGGGCGCCTGGGCTCGTGTCGAGGGAACCCCAATCCCGATGACAAGCCACTCCACCAGCATCATCAAGCATGGCGTCAAGGTGCAGAGCATCACCATCTTGGGTAAGGAGTGCGCTGTCGGGGACGAGGTGCGGGTACAGAACTGTGTGTGTCTGCCGTACAAGGAACTCAAGCGGGTATGTTAATTGAGTCTTCTGCATTGATTAATAAAACTAACATGGTTAAACAGGATGTCGCCAACGAGGTCATTATGTAGTGAGATATTCGAGATGGGCTGTTTTGGATCTATTCGATGGATTATACATATTGCTCGTCACCACTAATTTGTTCGACTCCTCTATCAATACTTTCTGCTTCTCTCAGCCATTCTCTTGGACATTAGACAAAGGCTGACCGTCTGGGCAAAACGACGATCATAATTTTGGTATAAAATTCAATATCAGACAGATCATGAATTGACAAAACGCTCAAGTATGCGATGTTTCGCCTTGCCTCGAAAGAAACGTCGCTGTTCAGTGTTCTTTGTCCCATCGCAGAATGAAGCATGTAGATATCCAAGTCATAACACGTCAATGAATGGTGGAAATCATAAACCCGGCAGTCAGATACTGCTTGTCCGGATAGCGAAATCACCGATAAGTCCCGGGGTCATAAGCCGTCTGCTCCGCAGGATGGCCATACCCGGGACGTCCAACACCACTGAACCGAACCCGCGGCCCACCCCGCTGACTTCTGGCCGGCGCAGTCTCCGAGAACTCTTGCGCCTCCCCCGCATGGTAATGCTCCGCTGATGCATTCAGCCCGTACACTGGGGGCGGCACCCGGTACGCCGGGTGATTCGCATAATCAGGACCCGGGATATCGGAGATTCCGTGCCGATCTGCGTAGGGGCTCTCATGAAACTGATGCTGATGCTGGAGCGGGTGCCGCTCGTCGTCGAGCGGGTCACCGACAGTGGTGCCCGTCATGGCGCTATTGTTGCGCTCGTGCATCTTGATGTCTGCGTTGCTGGTCATGGGGTCGTATGTGCCTAGTCGGGTCTGGCGCTTGTGGATGATGATGTCGAGTGCGACCGCAGCGATGGCGGCAAACGTGCTGGTGCAGGTGAAGGTGAAGAGAGCCTTGTAGGTGCGGCAGACGGTGATGCCGGCTGAAGTGGCCCAGTAGGTTGCGTTGCAGGTGGTGAGGATGGTGTGGGACATGCTCCAGCTCAGAAGGCCAAGGGAGATAAGCCAGAGGATCAGGAGGATGGTGTTCGAGAGGAGAGAGAGGCGCGGGGAGAGGCCATAGCAGCAGTGGGTGAGGCTGGTGAAGATGTAATTGAGGATAGAGAGGAATGCGGACACGACGAGCTAGATGACGGTGAGGTTGGCTTTGAGATGGTCTGCAAGGCACAGAGAAAAGTGCTTACCAGTAAGAAGGCCCAAGGAAGTTTATATCCGCCGCTTTTGAGATGATAGATAAACACGGCGAGGATGATGCCGACGATTACTGAGGAGAGAAGGGAGATTGCTCGGATGATATGAAAAGGTACAGGAGGGTAGAGAGACGGCTTTACAGATTTAGAACACATCTCTATGGTTGGGGATGGACGCGGTGGGTTCTCTGACAGAGCTCAGTCGCTTCAGCATCAATAGTCGAGTATGAGATAGTCTGTAGAGGAAGCCTGTGGAGAAGTACGTATACCAAGTGTTGTCCACCGTTGATTCGAGGCTATCCTGAGATAAACAATATAGATTGCCGTGACGGACGTCGACTGACCACAACGCAGGTTTTGTAAAATTTGCTGGACCAGCCAGAGAGGTGAAATATAATCTTTAAGAAGAATTCCAGCTGAACAAGAAAGCTGCGTCTCCCCCAAGCTCAATGCAATGCAATGCCTCCCTTGGCGATGATCCACTGCGGGTGTTGCTAAAGAAAGAAAACACGCTAAACTAAACGTTATCGATAAACAATCGTCATCAGGACTCAATAAGTCTAGATTGGACTGAACATTCTTGTCCTACAAATGCCATCTGGGAGCTGGTTCTAACTTGGCAGTCATTCTGAGAAAGCCAGATTTGAAAGATTCTCTCCCTCTCTGGATTTGAGGAACCAGACCAACGAGAGCGTTGATCGTTACCTTAGTTACCTCCGCTTCTTGTGGCCTGTTTCAAGCTAAATGATCTGCTTGGATGCTCCACGAGGACGCGGCATATTTATCAAGCAGTCCCCACAGAGCATCAATCGTCTTTTGTGGATAGTATCAAGGATCTCGACTTCGGTCTTTCTTCTCTCTCAAATTCTTCTCAGCTTTGACTTAAGTTTGCTCGAAAGTCATAATTCGCTGCAGCAGATTATCCCGAAAACCTTACCCCGCCTGGTGACTAACAGCGCCTATAGCCAAGCGACCTACACAGATTAGAAATCAACCAGCATAGTGTAATATCTTCTTTGACTGACGCTAGTCGGCTTGTACTTGGGGTATAATATGCTGGCGCTCTATCTACCGTCTCTTTCAGGATGCCTCGATTGCACATCGCTTGAGATTCTTATTGCTACCCATTGCACCAAATATGGCTACCATCCTTGCTGGGACACTTCCCTGGCATGATGGCGAGCGGAAGATGCAAACTATGCTCCGAGTTCCGTTTAAACCCAATCCAACTGTCCCTTATCTCTATCCTGGAGCCGCATTTCTGGTACAGAGGTCTCCTTTAATGGCCTTGAGCACTATAGATCAGGAAGGCCGACCATGGGCAACTGTGTGGGGAGGAGAGCCTGGCTTTGCTGCTCCTGCTTCGCAGTCTACTGTCAACATTCAAACTCCAGTGGATAGTCGATATGATCCTGTCGCAGAGTTGCTACTAAGAGGCTCCACGAATGAGGGCAGTGTTTCTACAGAGATCGCTGGCCAGCCTGTCTCCGGTTTGGCGATCGATCTGGAGAATCGTAAAAGGGCGAAACTTTATGGAAGGAAGATTGCTGGATCACTGGACGCTGATAGCCATGAATCTGGTCGAGACTGCCAAGGTCAAAGAGAAAACGGGATGGCGCACCTGTCTGTGTTCATCCAGGGATGTCTCGGTAGGGTCTGGACCGTATATATGGCTCTATGGCAAGTCTTTGCTAAATACGGATAGGAAATTGTCCCAAGTACCTGAATAAGAAGAAGATAATTCCAGCTCTGCCTGATCCGAAGCTGATTACTGATGACCCCCAGCTACCACCAGCTGCAGTTGAACTAATCAGCCGAGCGGACTGCCTATTTGTCGCCTCGACTCATGGTACTGAGGACATGGACACCAATCTCCGCGGTGGGCCTCCAGGCTTTGTACGACTCATGAGCAACGGACCTAATGGTGCTGTTTTCGTATATCCTGAATATTCTGGCAATAGATTGTACCAGACGCTGGGAAACTTCCAGACAACTCCTCTGGCAGGATACGTTTTCCCAGACTTTGACACAGGAGACGCGCTCTATGTCACAGGAAGAACCCAGGTCTTGATTGGCAAAGACGCGGCTGCTCTGCTTCCACGATCAAATCTAGTTGTCAAAGTGACCGTCACCTCCGCTCGCTTCGTCGAGAAATCACTCGCCTTCAGAGGAATTGCAGGCGCGCCATCTCCATACAACCCAAGCGTACGTTATCTGGCCACAGAAAGGGTCAATCGGGTCGCTCAGTTTAATGACGATGTTTCCGTTACTGCTACCATGATCGCAAAGAAGATTCTTACACCGACCATCGGTCTGTTTCGGTTTCGAATTTCAGATCCATCCGAAATCGGGACCTGGGCTCCCGGCCAGTATGCCACCTTCTCGTTTCAGGAGGAGTTGGGCCTGGGCTATTGCCATATGCTCGATGACGATCCTTTGAGTCTGAATGATGATTATGTCAGGACATTCACGATTTCATCGTATCCAGGGCGTGGACTGCCAGCGGATGAATTTGAAATCACAGTTCGCAAGCATGGCAACGTAACCAGCCACCTCTTCAGGACTAGTGAGCGCGCCGGTTTAGAGGTACCTCTCAAGGGCTTCGGTGGCGAGTTTAGGCTAGACGATCAAGGAGGTGACTGCACAATCCCAGTTATAGCGGGCGGAATTGGTATCACGCCCATTATTGCACAGCTGCCAGGCATCGAGGTTTCGCGCCTACACCTCCTGTGGTCCATTTCTATGACCGATGTGGGCCTTGTCTTCGACACATTCCAGCGCTTCCCCCAACTGCCAGGCTCAACCACTCTATTTCTCACAGGATCTAAGCCAAACGATGATCAGGGGTCTCAGCAACTTGAAGCTATTATATCATCCGGGGCGAGAATCGAGCATCGTAGGATGGAGGCCCGAGACTTAGATACGTCCTTGGGGGATGCCTGGTATTTCTGTGGGGGTCCCTCACTCAAGGGCTCTGTCATGACTTGGCTTGCAGGGAAGCGAGTTATCTATGAGGATTTCACCTACTAGGTCTTATGTGGTTGGCCAACATTAATCAGGTGATATAGGACTTAAGACTTTCATATCAACAATGCATTCCGTATATACTTGTCAGATAGATTCACACAGAATGGTGTCACGTAACTTTGTCAAGCTGATGCCTCAGGAATCCTAGTTTATAGGCATATAGAGCCTGAGGCACAAATTATCAGACCAGACGCGTATCGATTTGTTGCCTCCGCATCGGCCAAGATAGATAACAAAGAGCTCCCCCTCCAAACTCCGCAAGCTTCATTCTCCTCTCACTGCCCACATTCAAGAAAACAACATTCACTCCCAGCAATCTGTCGACCCCATAAACAGGAAATAATTGACACAGGAAGAAACAACGCTACCCGCCTTATACAATCGAGTCAATCGGGTCACCTATCTCACCCCTCACTCCCTGTGAGTGAGTGAAATCACCCAAAAATGTCCACCTACGAAGGTACAAACCCCCCGCAAATCCACACGGTAAACATGCTAAAACACTCCCGCAGTCGAACACAACACAACCGACCCGTCCATCCCCCAACAGCCCACCCGCCGCCGCCGCCCGGACCTCTCATCCTTCTTCTCGACGCTCTCCCAAATCAGCCCCGATGAGCACCGCTCTAGACCGCACGCCGTCCCCGTCCCGCGCGACGTAAGCGCCGCGTTCTATACTCTCGCTGAGGCGTTCGAGGTTATGCGCCGGGAGTCGGAAGGCGGGGGTGCAAGCGCTCGCGAAGGCGGCGATGGCGACGGCGACGATCTCCTGTCGCAGATGATCCAGACGTTGTTGCGGGAGGCGGATACGCCGCCTAAGGAGGTGGAGGGTGTGAGCGAGGAGTTTTGCGACGGTAGGTCTTGAGAGGTGTCATGAGGCTGGGGTTGGAGCGCGAACTGACTAGAGGTTACTAAATAGTGCTCGACCGGGTCCCGCGTACATCGTTGAAGGAGAACCAGACGTGTCCGATTTGCAATAACCCGTTCTTGGAGGATGAGTATCCGCTCGTTGTGCGGCTGCCGTGTCACTCTACGCATTTGTTTGATTTGGAGTGTATCCGGCCCTGGTTGCGGTTGCGGGGGACGTGTCCGCTTGATCGGACGGATTTTGCCAAACAGGAGCGTGAGAAGGCAGAGGCGCGTAGGAAGAAACCGGTCGAGGATGACGAGGAGGAGTGGGATGGTATGTATGGCTAGTTGCAGCTTCATCCTGTTCCATTATTGTATTCATGTGCCATGTCATTCCCTGCCGAGGGAAGTATCTTGTCTAGTACCTTGTCTATCACTCATAACAATGTATCTATCTCGTGGCTACTTTCTCTGAAGGCTGACCATCCTTGGGTCGAATGGCCAACTTGCCGGTCTTATCAATCACGGCCTCAAAGCCACTTCTCTCCAACAGCCCATTCTCATCCCTGACCACCTCCCGAGCTTCGAGCGCTTCGACCAGCCTTTGGTTCTCCCGGTTTCCTTCTAGGAGGAACTTGAGACACATAACAGCGTGTTCCTTGATGTACGGGTTGTGAGCATCAAAGTTGGTACAAGACAAGATAGTCTCGACACCGCCGTATCGGCGTATCTGATCCTGGACCTCGGGACACTTCCAAACCAGAGACGACAGAACAAGCACGACGAGTTTCTTGAGATTCCTCCACTCAAATTCAGAAGGATCCTCGGTGATAGGGGGCGATTCGGCCCTGGACCCGGTGCTGCCAGCGCCGTTTTCCGCCGGGTCAGGGTCACCAGGGTCATATGGTCTCTCAACAGCCACAGGCCCTGCAGCTGCGCCTTGTTGGTGTGCTTCTTTGGAAGGGCTGTTGCGGCCAAGAGACAGCGAACTCAGTTGGCCCTTGGGTATGCTGGCTTCGAGTTCTCTGATCAGCGTCACCAGATCGTAAACGATCTCCCACTTGACAAGCAGGTTCTTCCAGTCGTTATTTTCTGTAAGTACAGCAAAGAACTCCAAAAATTGGTAGACTCCCTCGTAGACTCGTTCCATGTCCCACAAGTTTAGTGGGAAATCTTCTGGCAGGGCACGTCCGGCCCTGATCTGCCCTTGAAGGTAGATCAAGGCGCAGGTTTCGGGAATGATGTTCCCACGGAAAATAGTGAATATGTAGCGAACCGTGAGGATATCAACCCTAGAAGGAGGCGCCGGGTTCTTCGTGGCGGTCTGCTGGGTTGCGCCTGTAACCGAGGCAGGAGAGTACTTTGCTCTGAAGATGTGCGTCAAGATCTTGACCACAACTGCCTGAGCGGGAGAGATGATGTCTTTCGGCTGCCCGAAGTCAGAGTACGCGTGAGACATCAGCCCATTCTTCAGAACTGCATCCATAATCTGCACCATCATCTTGAAATATAGCTCATCATCAGGGAGGTCCCAGGCGGCGATGAAAATTAACAGCTCTCGCAAAAGATTTCGACCAGTTTCCTGGGTGAGAAGGATATGGCATCTGAGAGCTTGCATGTTTCTCGATCCTGTGCGCTCGCCACCCTTGAGTCCGAAGCTGTCCACAATACCGGCCTGAATGATCATAGGAAGAGCTTCAATTTCCGCGGGCCCTAGAACAAGAGGGATGTCGGTCAGCAGACCACGCTGCTGATCGCCAGGTCGACCTCGGTAGTCTTCATCATCCTCATCGTCTTCTTCTTCCTCCTCTTCCATGCTTCCGTCAGCAACGGCCTCCAAGCTGTGCGAATCGTCATCGCCAACTGTCCCTGCATCGCCAGCATCATAATCTTGGTCGCCATGATCAGCAATCTGTGAAGATTCCTGCAGTCGAGCCATCAACTCGTCCTTGGCTTCTTGCAAGGTCTCGGCCGCAGATTGAGCAGATCGGGGCATGCTCGTGTCCTCCTCCGTTATTGGTGCATCGCCTGCTGCCAGTGCGCCGTATTCGTTGAGATCGGGTAAGTCAGCCCAGCAAATGCGAGGAAAACCTGCGGTTTTGCTGCGATCTATCGTCAGGATTGCCTTTTTCCTCGGCGGCTCGTCTTCAGGGAGTGCAGGTGGAAGGTCTCTGGCTCTATCTTGGAGATCTGACCAGCCATCCACCTTCGCTCCAAGAATAGCAGTCAACGCGGCTCGGATCTCCTTCACTTGCTCTGGGTCCTTGCCCATTTCCTGGATGGCCGTCAGATCTCGCCCGAGAAGTTTCTCCATGTGGTCTTTGATGTTTGCAAGGAGTAGCATGGCTGCTTCTTCTTTGATTGTCGCGGGCTCCCGTGGGAAATTCGAAATGGTTTCCAGTAACAAATCTTCCGCGGTCTGATCGTAAAGTGCCCTTATCGGGGGGTTGACAACCCTCTCCCCAATTTTGACGATTGGTGCCACCCCCTCAGCCTGAGAGTTAGCCTGATCAAGCGGCTCTCTAGGTTGAATGATATTGGAATCGCCAGTCGAATGGTAACCAAACAGATCTAACCACAAGACCATCTTCCGCTGCTCATTATGCATGATAAAATTGTGCAGAAATTGAAGACATGTGATCAATAGTCGTTTATATAGGTTGACCACTTTCTGCCAGCGCTCCTCGTTTCTTGCATTTGTCTCGCCGTCAAACCCCCGCGCAGTGACTCTCACACAAGTATCCACCAGTGCCAAAATCCTTTGGTCAAAACCTTTCTCCGCCGCAATATTCTGCGCTTTCTTCGTTGTGGCGAGAAGGTTACGAGCTATAGTGCACAGGTCGTTCAAGCGCTCGATGTCTTTGACGAGGGAGAAGTAGTTGTATGCAATGAGATTTGAGGAGGAGTGTTCATAGTTCGCGGACGGAGGGCTCTTCCATGCAAATGATTGTGATTCCAGAACCGGGATCGCCTTCGTCAGTACATCCGTGAAGCCTTGCCAAATGTCGGGCGATAGGCCCAAATTGTGTCTGTTGTAAGTGAAGCAGTCAGACAGATGTCTCGCAGTCCCAGGTTGCCAAAAAAAAAAAAAAAAAAAAAAATCATACCTGACGTCGCTCTCCTGGTGTGTTTTGTAAAGTATCTGTTTCCCAGCAGAAAGCATGTGCTCCAAGCGTTTATCGTCGATCATCCCACGAGTCTCATAGTGGCTCAAAGTTCCCGTCAGGATGACCTTCAACATGAGCTCAGCTGGGGTGCATTTTGGTTTAGTTTCTGACGCTGGTCGGTCTGCCATCTTGACGGTGTTACCCGCTAGTTATCACGCGAGACGGCACCGACGTGAGATTATTGCTAGAAATATACCAAATCGATTAGAGGTGTTGATTGCGACGATAATGGGAGAGAAGAAATAGTGACAGGCAATTTTTCCGGTTCCGCCGATCAAGTGTCCCGCCTACCCTTTTCGGTAAGCCCACATGAGAGCGTATTTCTATACAAGAATGGGCTGGTAGCGTTATAACGATCATATAATGAAATGTACGAGATTGAGAGTGATAATGGAATAGAAATTATACACAGCGTCTTACAGGCATATTGAAAACCTCCCGTAGATTGTGCCAAAACCCCAAATCATAGATATTGTCAATCTCCCGCATACTGTTCACTTCAACCCATCTTGTGTCAACTGGCGCCTGTGAATCACCCTTATGAAAAATCTCATTTGAGCGTGAGCAGAGTTGAAAGCCCTCCTTGGGGGGCTCACCGTCCGTGACTACTAGGATCTGGTCACTGCTCACTGGCCAGGCTCTTTGAGCAGGAGTGTCGTCATCGGAGTGGAATGGGGTCCCATAAATCTCGCTTCTGGTGGACTTAAACACCAAGCCATCTGCAACATCCTCTTTCCAGTCTGACCATTTTGCGCTTTCATTTGTGGTCATGCCAGCCCAGATGAGGTAGATGTGATAGAGCAGAAAGGCCAGAGCCAATGGCGATGTCATGGCTGCTAGCATGGCGATTGCACCAACACGAATATCAGAAGCAATAGCTATCGCCCAGACATTGAGCCAGGTCGTCCAGTCTTGTGATCTCGATCGTAACGGTGAGCTCGACGGTATGAGTCCCTCTAGCGTTTGCGACAAAAGAGAGAAGCCAAGGCATGACCCATATGCCAACATCACAGACAGGGAAAGTAACAAAGATAAGAAGTAATGGTAGTTGTTCCGACCCACGCAGTTGGTCAGCCAAACACAGTGATGATCGTGCCGCGAAACACAAGCTTTGCAGAAACTGCAGTGCTTACTTCGCGCCGGCTTCAGGAAGTTACACGTACGGCAACGATGACCTGGATGAAAAATAACTCGGTCATATGGATACCGTGCCATCTCATCCTCATGGTTTTCGTGAGTGATGTACGACTTGGTGACAACGCTAGCGTACAGAAAGATGTACGGAAGAACCGTGAGGGCTGGAATGCAGAGCCGATGAAACATTGAGATTCTAGGCCATGCGCTCGGAATAAACATGCATTCTCCTGCGATAAGGAGTGAAAGGAAGAAGATCTGCGATGCGGGTTAATCGACGATAAGAAAGGGTGTCTGCAACAGCTCAATACCTACAAGTACGAGCGGATGGTTTTCGTGCAATATATAAGTACCGGACCGGTTCCAGCAGTACGACAGTCTGCTGCCCAATAGATGAGAGTCCAAAAATAATAGCACATTAGGAATGTGTATACAGATGATCCTATGGAGTAATCCAACGGGGGTTTTCCTACCGACACTGCTCGTCAGTGGTGGCAAGTCCAAATGATTTTTCTCTCACCTAAGAGCAGGAAGCCTTCCGAACAGGGCCACAAAAGTAAACGCAGAGACTCCAAGTATGGCGATAGCCACCGTCCTCAGAACCCCCATGGTGACCTAGATCGTCAGAGGATCTTGTAGAGATCTCCTGCGTTGTCAGTCTAGCAGCATGCCCGACGGAACCGCCTGCAGCTTGGATGACTATTGAATATATAGTCTATAATGCCGTTTCACTTAGGTTTTAGAAGACCTGGCGGTCGACTCTTCTCTGCCTGCAAAAAGCACTTTAATGACTTCGCCAAGTCATTGTTACCACCTAACGCACGTGACTTCCACTACCCGAAGATGAATGAAGAAGTGTTTTGATGATCGTGGTGCTGCCGTGAATGATACAATCTGATGGAAGTCTGCCTTTGATTTCTTCTTCGAACCATACCCTCAAAGTCGAGGTACATGGAGGCAGTATCCTTACAACACTGAGAATTATACTTTCGACGCGCGAACACGTGATTACGTGTTGTCTAAGTTAGCCCGCGACGGCACTGAGAGAGGGAGACGGAAGAAATCCATTTATCTATCTTTCGAAGGCAGATGGACTACATTAACTATGACAGAAGGTAATATGGAGGACGACGATGGCGGCGGTAACAGTAGTGGGAGCCTTCTCTTTGACGGGAAACAGTTCTGGTTGTCTCACAACATTCCTCAAAGGAGCAGATTCAAGGAGTTGATAGAGGTATGTTTCTGTGTGCTTGTGCTCTTCTACTCTTAAGCTGATGTTACTCTAGAGCAATGGTGGTATTGTAAGGCTTCGAGAGAAAGATGCAGATATCAAACTGGTGGATCATACAAGGAAAAATCTCCCAACTGACACGTATGTTTTACGATTTGTCCGTTGTTTCTTATGAAAGTAAGCTGAAAACTTCAGATACTCTTTCGGATTTGTGGAAGACTCTGTACGAAGAGGAGAGCTGGCAGACCTGGAAGCTTACAGAGCTGGACCTTCCGCGCCCCGGCCTGTGGGCGCAACACATATCTCAACTAGAGCTCACAAAGTCGCATATTCACTACAAGATGACCAGCTGCTATGGGATTGGGTGCAACCGTATGAGAAAGACCCAAGGGCCCCAATCAGCGGTAACCTGATTTACAAACAATTAGCGGAGAAGGTAGGCCCATGCCTCTCTCGGCTTGTCCACCGCGAATTTCACCGCGTTGTTTACTTATGATTTCTTGCCACTCTCAGCATCCACGACATACTTGGCAATCGTACCGTGATCGATATTTAAAGAGACTACGTGGTAAATCACGTCCAGGGGGCGCGCCAGAGCCCACAGGTCAGGCTCCCAATCCGCCGGAGAGCACTATGAGACAGTCCCAGGTCCCTGGCACTACGTCGGCAGAGTCGAATGAGAGACGTTCTGAGAATGCTCCTGAGACTACAGAAAGGGTAGAAGCCAGAAAAAGAAAAAGAAGCCCTGAGGTCGGCGAGCCAGACCGGATTGAAGGGCAGGGAACACATGCTCGACCGAAGAAAAGGCCAACACCAGCAACTCTACCTGAGAAGAGCATCTCTACTGCTCATCATAGAGTACTTGAGGAGCATCCCACTCATAGCGAGCCAATCGTAACTACAGTTTCGAAGCGTACAGATCAACAAAGGAATGAAGAACCGAAAGCAAAGGATACGGGAGGTGCCACCACAGTACACTCTCACAAAACCCAGCTGCCAAGCGACAATCCGGATAGTATCCCTGACAATTTCCTGTTAGAACTGCCGTTCTTTCCCTCAAGTCCGGAGCCTCAGGGAGAACCCTCTCAAGAGGAAGACATCGACACATGGATCGAGGACCGTCTGCGAACAGGCAAGGCAGATAACGAGGAACAAGTCATTGAGGCTCTACAGTGTACCAGCATGGACCCAAGCTTAGCCGACAAGGTTCTGGAATACCTTGCGGCAGGTAAAGGCATTCCCGAGGACATGCCTGGCGTTTGGACACCTGAAGATGATGAATGTGTGGAAGTGGGCAACAGCCGCGCTGTTGAACGAGTCTTGAAGAAGCATGGATCAGAAGCCTTTGAAGCGCGGTGGAATTACCTTAGCATGGCCAGGGCCGCGGGCCTTTCTGGAGGCATGGGCGATTGATAGTCACCTGTGTGAGATGTTTTCAACCGGCAAGCGGGATGTACGATAGGAAAGGCTGCAATTGTGCAGGCGAGAGATGATAACATTGTCGCATGAATTACGAACTAACTTGACCAATAATGGACGAACAAGGCGGCATGAGTGGGAGACTTGTAGGCCCCGCTCTTCCACTATGGTTTCCTGGCTTTGTCCTTTTTAAAGTGAGAGTATTGCTGAATTGCGCGACCGCGTCCAAGGGGAATATATCTTACAAATCAAAAGCCATAGCTGAAGGCCAGTAACTCCGGTAAGCAACCCGCGATGCACGGTGATCGTTTTACAATATGCATCAAAATAAACCTTCTCAATGAAACACCGTTGAACCCTGAAACGAGAAAAAAGCAAACCCAGGCGTCGCTTGTAAATCATGAAGCCGAAATTTAAGCGTCTTTGAAGACCCTAAAGCAAAGTCAGAAGCTGATACCTATAGGAAGTTAAGGAGAAATGACGCACAGATGTTGCTCGTAGAACTTCAGCATCTGCCGTATAGTTAGCGTGCGCTCAAGGATTATCAGCCATCAAGCAGAACTTGCCTGTCTTGGGCATTTTTCGTAGCATGTTTCAATGGAGACCTTGGCTGTTTTGCCATTGGTCCATTTCAGAAATGCAATCAACGAGTTCGTCTTGGGGTCGCGAATGATGGTATCCACTTTCTCGACATCTTTCTCCCAGCTCTTTGATCGAGGCACCCAATCGGGTACATCGCTTGCCTCTGGCGTCTCTGTGCTAGTATTTGCAGTGACCTTAGACTGTCTGCGTCGCTTAGGCTCTGCTGGTGTTTCAGACTCCGCCTTAACGCTTCCCATTGACTTTCGCTTTCGCGCAGCAACTGGTTTCTCCGGCCGACCACCTTGAGCTCTGAAGTATTCATCTAGGATCTCCTTTGCGCCCTCCCTGGAGGGTTGTGAGCACCAGATTCGAGCTTCGGAAGAAGTGGCGAGGAATATCTTACAAGAGATTCTCTTCTGGCTCCAATGTCTGATCTGCCGGGTCGTCGTATCCATGCCACTTCACTTGAAGCATAAGTTTGCCCTACCTGCTGGTCAGCGCCGAGTCGCCAATTGCGCTGATTGAGAGCGCAAGGAAGTAGTGGACGGGGGAGGGATTGCGATGGTCAATTACATACGTTCTTTGCGAACTCATGACCCATGATCTTCTCAACGGTGTATCTGTCACATATGAGCATCGCGCGCCAGCTCGGCAAGTCGGTCGTTGCACTCACAGCCCCTCTTCCTCATTCTCGTCATCATCCTCCTCTTCCTCCTCGGCGTCGCTTGCGACATCCTTGTCACGTTCAACGTTATTGTACGGGATAGATCCGCCGGTGGACTCGTCGTCCGAAAGATCCTCAACGGGGGCTACAGGCAAAGTCAGCTGGACATGACGGGTTCCGGCGCACAAGTCGACCCATCACTCACGAGGCATTGTCCTAGAAGGAGTGACTAGGTTGAAAAGTTTGGAAAACGTTTTGGCGACGGTGGGCAACCTTGACCCCAAGGATAGGATTGATAGCGACAATAACGGGATGCGACCAGATATATCTTAATGGAGCTGACTTGGGGTATCGAGATGCCCTTCTGGGCTCTCTGCGAAATGACGAGTCGCGCAGAAAGGCGCGTGGTGGACTAAACACGCTATACCGTATATGGAAAGCAGCTCACTAGCCCGACTGGGACATCTCCAGAAATTCTAAAAGTGCCCTCAATATCAGTGAACCCGGTTGTGTCCAGATCGTTGAACCTCCCCCCACCTCGTCGTTGCTTGTTCCAGTGACATCTTTTGAAAATTATCTCACCTTGGTCTCAGGGTGCTTTTGTTGAAACCATAAGCTGCAAAATCCTGCCGGCTGGCAGACCGTCAAAATGGCGATGCGTATGTTCCTGATACCCCTCACCGAGAATCGCTCCATGTACTGACTCTGGCTGCCTTGATCTAGAACTTGATTTGTCTCAAGGTTGATTTCACCTCTGCGTCTGGCTCCCTTAAGCTCCGGGTCGTGACTAACAACTACAATAGCTTCCGTTATGAAAGATGAACAGGGTCGGCCGTTCATCGTTGTCCGAGAGTATGTTGCGGGAGACCCATACCCTGGCTTGTCTTGACTTTTGCCGAATATGAATTCTTGCTGCGTCCAAATACTGATACAAAACCCACTCGCATTAGTCAGGGAAAGAAGAAGAGGCAGCACGGCACCGAGGCCGTGAAATCACACATTGTCGCTGCCAAGACCGTCGCCAACATCGTGAAGACTTCGTTGGTATGGTCCGGAGGTTTCGAAAAAATTGGAACGGCATCTAAGAATGACTATAGGGACCCCGCGGACTTGACAAGATTCTGATCTCCCCGGACGGTGATATCACCGTTACCAACGATGGCGCAACTATCCTCTCCCAGGTCCGTTCTTCAACCACCTCGGCGATCATCGACTCGGCGTGTCACTGACTTGCAACTGTCCATAGATGGAAATCACAAACAACGTTGCCAAGCTCTTGGTCGAGCTCTCAAAGTCTCAGGATGAGGAGATCGGTGACGGTACAACCGGTGTCGTTGTCCTGGCGGCGGCTATGCTCGAGCAGGCGGCCGAGCTGATTGACAAGGGAATCCACCCCATTCGTATTGCAGACGGATATGATCAGGCTTGTGAGATTGCCGTCGCTCAGCTCGACGAGATCAGCGACGAGATCCCTTTCACCAAAGACGAAACCGAGAATCTACTCAAGGTTGCGAAGACCAGTCTTGGTAGCAAAATGTGCGAACTTATTGACGCCACGTCTTTACATTTGGGATGATTGATAACTGACTCTGCTCTAGTGTCTCGAAATCTCACGACCAATTCGCCAAGATCGCCGTCGATGCGGTGCTCTCAGTTGCGGACCTCGAGCGTAAGGACGTCGATTTCGAACTGATCAAGGTAGACGGAAAGGTT